CGGCCGCGGCGGGGAAGGGTGGCCTGGTATCATACCTAAAATCGCTTTAAAGTAAAATACTGTTTTTATTAGCAGCATATCACCCCAAATTCGGTGCAGGTTTTAAATTACTCAAAGCCAGAAGACACATGCTTAGAATATTCTGGTACTTCACTAGGGAAAGGGAGACTTTTAGTATCATCCCCACTCAAAGACATCAAGGATTTCATAAACAGCAGATTATTTTGGAGCTAGCACCACAACCCAGGCAAGGAGGATGGATTCTCTGTTTCACCAGTATCTTACTTACAGAACAACCTGCCGAAGCCATTTCTTCCCATTTCGAGGCATTTTGTTATCCTTCAGATGAGGAAATGTGTCTTTTCCTTCTCCTCTCTACCCTGTTACCATGCCAAGCAATTCAGGGAGATGCTGGTGGGAACAACCCCTCTCCCCCCACGGGTCCCCCCAGCTCTGGAAAATGTCATTCCAGCTGGTTATGATGGTTTGCCCAGCTGGTGGGAGAGGACACAATGTTTTTTGAGTACTTGGATTTTGCCATGCTGTTTTCTGATCTCTTTCCAAAGACCTTTTCCCTAGTTCAATTGACAACAGCTGCTGGAAAGCTCCTCCCCAAGGGAGGAGAGAACATATCACTGATTTTCAAGAATAACTTCACAACATCAAAACAAAACAGGATTAGTGCTGCTGTAAACCAGCGAAGGGTCTGGAGGTGAGACCCGTTGGCATGACACACGCAGGGCTTTGCAGGATCACATTTACGTGTCGCCTGCCTTGGTGGAGATCCAGTGCTACCTGCAAGCCGTGGCAGTCGGGTCGCTTTCTGCCTCATGTCTGGGAGAGGTGCCAACCACAGAATCCTAAAGCAATCAACACGACTGCGGGACAGGGGCAACAGGTCGGCAGGCAGGAGAAAGAACTATTAGAAGACCTGGAAACCCCCCTTGCAAGGAGAGAAATGGAAACCCTCTTCCAAGAGCAGCCCGAGGCTGGGAACCAGTATTTGGAAGATGCTTTGCTTCGGAGTTACTTGAAAACACACCTTCCTCTCAAGGTCTGGCATGCATGTTTGTGTTTCTGTGTGTACACACTACAATTCTGGCTAGGTCACTGTTTGAGACTATGAATTGAACGTTTCTCTGAGCCCTTTTGTGCCTTTGAGCATTTAAGTGGGGGGGCTTTATCACCATTCTCTAAAACTTGTTATCTTTGAGCCAGTGCAGGGGTGAAAAATACTGCCAGGACATAAACAGAAATAGAAGGTGCCTTAGTGGACTCCTGTGACTGGTCTGGGTGTTGCAACAACCGTGTTGTTTTGGGCTTGTCAGTGCTGGCATTTGTTGTCTGGTCATCCAGAGAAAGTAAGTTCAGAGGAAGGGAAAAAACTAAATTCTGCTGTGCTCTTTCACTTCTCTTCCCCCAGGAAAGAGGGGCTTTTAAGGAAATTCCTTTCCAAAGGAACGAGGCTGTTCTCAGCTGGGCGCTGAAGAGGATCCAAAGGCCCATTGGGTTTGCTTGTTCTCAGCACAGGTCATTGGCTTTTCTGGGTTGATTTTTCAGACAGGGAAGGCTCTGTACAGATTGCAGGGGTGCGGAGAGGTGGGGTAAGACCCTGAGCTGTGGGTCTCTATTCTGTGAGGTCCGGTCCTACAGGAACCCCTGGGAGGAGGTGGCTCATCTGCCTGGCTGTCCTCTGCTGCCACCCCAAGAACCGCCACTGTTTCCCACTTTTCAAGGACCAGGTCTCATGGGGCAGAATGCGACCTCTCTCCGTGATTTACTCCAGCAGAAGCAAGACAATGACGTGTAAAGCCACCGGGTGAGTAGAGCGGCCGAACCTGGCTTTCAGTGGCGCTCTTCCTGCCGCGGCTCGCTCTCCAGGTCTACGAGGCCTTGCAGACATGGGGTAATAAGAGTGTGGTGGCAGCGTTGGGAGCTTGCTTTTGTCACAGCCATCCCAAAGACCGGAATGAGGCCTCCCTAAGCACCACTGTGGCCTTCTTGCCAGAAGAGAAGATAGGGGAAAGGAGGATGCCTTTGGGCAACCATGGAAATCTTGCTCTTAATCTGCACCTTTGGAAGAAGCATGATTCAGATCTGGCAAAGAATGAAAGGATCAGTGCTGTCTTTCACCAAGGCTGAGAGCTGTTCTCCACTCCTCCCCAAAGAGGCAAAAGCAGCTGCGAAATCTACCAGGGAGTCAGCAGCATCTCCCTTATGTTTCTGTGCTTGGTCCCAGCGGGGCAGTGTTGCCTCACCGCTGAAAAGGAGAGCCCATCTCTGCCGTCTGCTTCATGCAGCACCCACTTGTCTGCAGCCTGAGAGCCACCTCTCCGTGCGGAAACCTTCCTCTCCAGGAGAACAGCAAGAGATGAAGCTTTGTGTGTCCCACCGGAGCAGACACCACGCTGGAGGTTGATTCCTGTTGTACTATTCACCTGTGCTCTGTAGCAAACACTGAAATTTTCCTGGAATGGAGCAAAAGATTCTTTGTTTGAAGGTGATTTCTGGAGAACACAGAGGAAAGCACCTGCTTTTTCTGGGCATCGTTGTAAGAGGTATCTATTGGTCTTCGATCCCCCTGAAAAGATATCCTTTAATATAAAGGATCACCTGTTTGCACTCTTAATATGCAGTAATTTGCACATTTCCAGTGTATTCATCCCTGGGACGTCAAAGGACGGATTAGGGTGAATGAGACCACCAAGCAGGTGCTGCCAGGTAGCAGCTTTCAGCCCTGACCCTGATGGTTTACAGATGCCCACTCCTTGTCCTGGTGCACGTTTTTTGGAGTGCCCAGGCTGCTGTGTGTTAGATTCAGCAGTCACAAATGTAGGAGCTCTGATTTTGTTCTTTTACTTTGGAAATAAACACATTCACTTGGCCAACACGGTGGTTTGTAAGGCTACATGTGGTCAGGGCATGAGCTCACAGCCAGGCAGTTGGTTTTTTTGGGGGGAAAGTGTGGATGAGGTGAAGGGACTGTTGTAGTTTGAGTGCACTGTCGGGTGCTGACCAAGAGACCTATTTGGTAGACTCATCAGCCCACAGAAAACCACCAGGTAAATATTTCAAAGGTTCTTGTGCTTCAGGGATCAGCAAAGTCCATGAACCTTGGATTCTTTGGTTGTGCCTCTAAAACAACCTTCAAATTGTTGTCAAGATATGATAAGCATTGGAGGCATACACCCATCCTAGGTGAGCTCCACCGACAGCAAACAGGAGTGCAGCGTGAGCTGCACCATCTGACAGAGCTCTCATGCACGGTTTTGGCTTGTTTTGTGATTTTTAACACTATTTCACTGTTCACCTGAAGGAAAACTGGCTGGTCTGAGGATGGAGGCTTCCAGCGTAGTCACTGGACAGCGTGTGTTGGATCCTCATTACACACGCAGAACAGCAGAGTGATGAAAGAATCAATCATACGGGATGTAGTTTAATGAAAAGTCAATACAGGGGGAGGCAGGGAAAGGAAGAAGCAGTGTTTGTATTTCATCAACAGCAAATTAATGTGTTTTATAATTGCACCGTTTTGGGTGCAGCAACTACAGCATTCACCTCCACGATTGTCACACTGGGGAGGAAATTAGCATCGCTTGAGGAGTAGAGAACAGCACAAAATATTCCTCTGATGAAAGCAAATCTAGATCAGGTGCTTCTTGGACCCCCAATACAGTCTTGGATGTATTTATGCTAACGAGGGTCCAACGGTGCTAGAGGATGGGTCCACCTGGCCTAATTTCAATCATCTATAAGTAACGTTATTTAAGTCTAGGCAACTTCACTAGGCTTTGGCCACAGACAGTGAAGAGCACTTGCAGAAGGCAATTCCCGTCACCTTGAAATTGGTACCTAAGAGGGCTGGCATGACTCATTCCTCAGCGGGTGCCGGTTTCCCTCCATTAACTATGGACAGACCACTCTGTCCAAGTTAGCCCAGCCTGGCTGAATGGAGGGCACGTGAATCCTTACCCAGGGCCATGCAGGAAGCTGGATGTAGGGTGGAAATTTGAATCTAGACACCCTGGGTGCCAGGCTGAAGCTCAAATGATTGCTCCATCCCTCCTTTTCTGATCTAACAGGCAGGTAACTACTGAGCCCAGTGGAAGTTTTCCTACACAGACGAAGGCTTTCTGGTTTTGGCAGCTCTTCCCCTGGCATTCTTCTCCAGCAGTAAATCAGAGAGTGGCTGAGGTTGGAAGCACCTCTGGAGATCACCTTGTCCAACCCCCCTGCTCATGTGCATCTGTGTCATTCTCAGCCCTGATATAAAAGCTCTTCTGTCTATTGTAAAATCCAGAGATGCTGCCAAAAGTAACTCAAAAAAAT